CCCCCAGGCTGCCGGAAGTGCTTCAGAAAGGGGGTCTGCTGGATATGAGGTGCTCCCAAGGAGGCACTTAGAGTCTGGAAGCTGGTTGGGTGCAGTGAGGTGGGTTGCTCAGTGCAGGAGCACACCCTACTGGCCTGCCACATCCTGCATCTGGCATGAAAGGGTAAAGGGGAACATGGAAATAATACAGGCTTCAGATGTGTAGGCAGGACATGTACATAAATATTTCATGTCTGGAATATTAAGAATATCCATGGAAAAAAGTTTCAGATGTGTAATAGCTGGAAGAAAATTATTGCTACTTAGCAAATTATAATTCCTGAGAAGAAAAAGAAATAGGACGAACATCTGGTGCAACACCATCCTGATCCCTGCTACACTACAGAGTTTGGCCTCCAGACAAAGAGGAAAAGTGTAGGCTGAGTGGCAAGCAAGGTTCTTTGAGTAGATGTGATATCTTTTATTAGACTGAGTAGTTGAAAAAAGTTCTTAGCAAGCTTTTGAGTGCAATCACCCTTCTTCAGGCACGGGAAGTCTCTGCTGTTCTAGGACTCCAAGGAATGAGAGAAGCTAAAAGTGTGACAGGATGTCAGTGAGAGTGTTGATAGGTGGAAATTAGGGAAACAAAAGGTAAAGCAGGAAAGAGAGGGGAAGGGAAAAGTGGGGAGAGGGAGCCAAAGTTGAGTCTGGGAGACTCTACAGTCGTAATTCAAGGAAGAAAAGAGGCTGTCTGTGAAATAGGAAATAGCTGGAAATTAGGAAGACAAAGGGCAGAAAAGTAGGTGAGTAGAGGAGATAAAGGGGGGGAAGGAAAGTGTAGAGGTCAGGTCTGGCAGGTACCTGGTAAATCAGATGTCAGGCAGGTTGTAATGGCAATTCTCTTTTATCCCAGTGAACTACCCACAGTGTTAAATACAACCTCTTGATTACTTTCCTTCATGTATGCACACTCTACAGAAAATTAGGCTGCTGTTTATGCTTAAAGGAAAAAAGTCCTAATTTTGGAAGCTAATGACTAGCACATTATCTCCTCAACTACCACACAAATCCTGTCTTAGGTACTATGACATTACTCCTATAGGATGCAAATGACAATACAGTGGGTATAGAGTGTATAGCAGTGTATGTATAACTATAATCATTCTATTAGCTATTCTAAGGCTGGCATGATTTTAGGGACAAGATGATGGCTGAATATTTTCGGCATTCATCTAACTGATTGGTTTCCAGACTGTTGTCTGCTACCTGAAGAGCTGTCTGAACACAGAGTAGTTTCCTTTCTTCTATGTTTCCAGCTTCATCAGTAGTCACCAAGGGCATGGGCACATAGCCAAATAACCAAGTTACTGCAGAATAAATGAAGATCATGATTTACGATGCAACAGCTCTTCCATGGTAATTGCCCATGAGCATACTCTTACCCCATGGTAGATAAAAGCACAAGTGCAGTAGCTTAGCCCTCCTTTAACAGGGTAAGAGAGTGTACCCAAGCAGTTACCAAAGAACAAGTGATATATTGTAAATACTTGCCCTTGTTTTCTTTGCGCTAACTTTTTGGGTGCCCAGACCCCAAACCCAATGTGATGGAAATTATGGATTTGTATTACAGCCTTAAACAAGAAGAAAGAACTAAAGCAGCTGCCACTCTTAAGTCCTGCTGCTATGTAAAAAGAGGAACTGAGAGCCTGAACCACATTTAGGTACTGGATCTTATGTAGCTCTATAGATTATAAAGCCAGAAAAGACTAGTATGATCCTTCAGTCAGTCCTCTGTCTAGCACAGCTCATAGGATTTTCTTGAGTTAATTCTATTTGAACTAGGGCATATCTTTTAAATAAAAAAAAAAAAACAATCTTGGCTTAAAATGAGCCATAATACAGAATTCACCCCAACAATTGGAAAGCTTAATTAATTAACTCAGTGTTAAAAATTTACACTCATTTCTAATCTAAATTGGTTTCATTTCAGCTGCCAAGTATTGAATGCTAATATAAAGAATATTCAAATATCTTTCCCACATTATAGACTGCAAGCAAATTATCCTTTAACCTTTTCTTTGATAGTTAAATAGATTTAGTTCCTTGATTCTCTTACTGTACAGTATGTTTTCCAATCCTTCAAACATTCAAATGACTCATTTTTTACCTCTTTCTTATTATATAGCATCCTGCATGAACTATTTGTTTTGGTATGGTATTTTTAATATACCTATAGGATCACCTAAAAGAGCCCTTTTACTCATAAACTCACACTATGAGTGCCTATACATGTGTTCTGACACTTTCTCATTAGAATGTGTTAGAGCAGATTTGATTAATCAAGCCTGCTGGATCATTTTAATTAGAATGCTCCAGCACGCTGCAGCACCCCATGTATTAAGCACCCTGCATTTCAAAATGGCAGCAGGGGTGCTTTAACTAAAACTCATCAAATGAGCTTCAGTTAAAGCACCCACAATGCCATTTTGAAATGCAGGACATTTAATACACATGTCGCTGCGGCATTTTAATTAGAGTGGCTGTCCCAGAGTCACTCTGATTAAAATGCCCCTGTGACCTGAGAGTATAGATGTCCTATGTGTTGGGTGTTTATATGCCCTATGTGTTGATTTCAGCTGTTTTTACCATTACATGATTCCCAAGGAGTTTTTCAGTGTCATGATTCTCAAGATAGTATTGCCCATACTGTGCATATGACCTGTAGTCTTTATTCCAGTATGTATGACTTTGTTTGGCTGATTTGAGACATACATTTCCTGACAGCCAGCTCACCAGGAAATACCTTGATGAGACTGACCTGTCTTCTTCATTATTTACCACATCACCTATCTTTGTGTCATTTACAATTTTTTTTAGTTTTCTTCCAAGTCATGTCATAGAGCTACGTACTGACCCTTACAGAATAACAATAGCAACACATTTTATTGATGGTGATTTTCTGCTTATATTACAGGTAGAGACCTAACAATTAACTGATTTTAAATCTATTTTAAATATACCATGTTGATTTGGTATAGTTGTTAATTTTTTCCTCTCCTGTGAACCATCAGCAGGAGAGAAATGTGAAGGGGGAAAAGAAACAAAGTAAACAATCAACATGTCAGGCAAAAAATGGGAGAATAAACAAGCTCATATACCAAGGAAGTACAAAAGAGAAAGATGAGAAGGAGGAAATGAACAGCTGAGAGAGAACATATTATATATTATACTTAATGTATTTGTTAAGCACCAGCAATGTTCTCTGGGCTGCAGAAGACAAACAGTCTAGGTAGAACTTTCATCATATTTCATGAAATCTAAATAACTGGTGACCAACTAATTTAACTCTCCTCAAAAGCACCAACAATCTTACTGCTTTTAAATTACATGTATTCTTAACTCATATTAATTTCCCTTGAGAACAGCTGCAGTAATGGCCATGGTGATGTTATGTGATTCTAAATGGGAAAGCAAGGTATTCTGTGAAACTATCTGGCTCTTAAGATGTGGTCTATATCATGATAATGTTGAGATTCCCTCTTCTAGCTCCTGATTTAGAGACCAGAGCCAAATTCTTCCCTTGCTTACACTTGTATGACTCAATTAGTGTCAGCAAGTTTACCCAGTTACAAAGGAAGTCACCATTTAGCCTGTAATATGCACAAAGATTACTGTTTGTCATGAATGTACCATGAACCTTTATTATGGTCAGTAGGGCTGTGCAGAAATTTGCCAGCTGTTTCATTTCAATGCTGTTTTGACCCACTTCAAGCTCAAAATCAAAACAAAACAAAACAAAGGGCTTTGAAACATCCTCAAAACAAAACAAGGGCAGTTGAAGTGTTGCGAATTTTTTAAACGTTTTGAGTTTCAAAGTTCAAGCAGGGCTTACCTTCAGGGAAACAGAAAGTAAAGAGAGGGAAGGGGAAGTGGGAGGGGAAGGACTGCTCTGATATTGACTGTGTAGCTAGCCAGTGACTGTCATCCTTCCCTGAGGTCCCTTCCAATCCCAGTGCTCTGGGGGAGGATGGAAAAACAGCATAAAAGGCAGCATTGTTTGAACTGGTCTGCTTTCTACCTTGGGGTCAGTTACTTAGCTATCTTCCAAAAGCTCAGGAGCATTAGACAACCAAGGCTACTACTACTATTGATTTCCTATTTGCTAGCCTAGCAAGTGGGATTCTGCAATACCTTTTGCTTTCTTTCTAGACCCTTTTATTCTATTATTATATTCACTGATTTATTCTTTTCAATGTCATAATTATATTGCATGTTATACTATAGAAAGTATATAGGAAGACATATATACATTTATATATTTTTAAAAGACAAGAAGCTATGAAGCACACCGTGAAGTGTGATGGAAAGGCAGCTGACAAGCCTTCAGGGAGGGGCAGAAGAGGGGGTAGAGGGAGAGGTGTAAGTTCCCCACCCCCCAAACTGAGACACAGCCTCTCTGCTACAACAAGCAGGCATGATGTTTTCACTAGTACAGGCAAGAAGGAGAGGGGAGCAGTGCCAGTACTACTGCTTGTGCCTTCTGCATCCCCTCCAAGAGCATCAATCATAAGGCCCCACCACTACCACCACCATGACAACAAGCACCAGCACCAGCATGAAAGTCTCCTCCACCCCTATTTCATTTCCTATGCTGAACCTTCCTGTGCCAGAGGAAGAGCTGGAGCTGGAGCTGGATCATTGTGCCCTAGTAAGGAAAATTCTGGGGAAAGAGGGGGAATCATCTGAGTTTGTGCTCCACACCCCTCAATATTCTCCTAAAGCCAGGTCTCCTTCCCCAGAAGGCACTTCAGAGGAGGCTGAGGTAGAGGTTGTGGAGGTGAGGGACCAGCTGGGGTGGGGGTGGGAAGGGGGATGTAGCAGTGCAGGTAAAAGTGGAGACGTACCTGGGGAGTCAGATGTCCAGCAGGTTGTAGTGTCAGAATTCCACTGTCTCTATTGAGTCCATGAGTTTCTGTACCTAGGAGGTTGATGAAGTGCAGTTCATAGGCTGATCTGTGAAAAGTGGTTTGTAAATCTCCTTTGAGAATCAGGCCTGAGAAATTGGAGACAGGTGGTGTTCTGTTGTTGTGTTTGATAGATTTTGGTGTGCACTCATTCTCACATGCAGTTGTTGTTTGTTGTCTCCATGTATTTTCCATCAGGGCACCAAGTGCCCTGATGAAGATATGTATTGTATTGTGAAGATATCTCCACACTGGAAACATTGCAGGAAGGTTTTGTGTGTCTTGTCATGGCATGGCTTGGATGCATTCAGTGTGTTTTGGGCTGTAGAAAGTTGGCTTTTGGTGATAAGGATAGTGAAGTTCAGTGCTTGTTTGAATTTACAAACCACTTTTCACAGATAAGCCTATGACATGCACTTCATCAATCTCCTAGGTACAGAAAGTCATGGACTCAATATAGACATTGGAATTCTGACACTGCAACCTATCAGTCATCTGACTCCCCAAGTACCTCTCCATGACCAATGTACTAATACAGACTTCCAGACACTCAAGATCTAGGAGTATCTATAGCTATTTTCTACTATGGGTATTTACTATGCTTCAGGGCTTTTCTGTTTGCAGCACGGCACCAGGAAGGAGTTTTTCCCTTCCTGTTGCCACAGGTGCCAGGAGAGTTTGTTTCTTTGTTTTTGTTTGATTTTGGCTTCCTCAGAAACATTGGGTGTTTGCTGCAGCCAAGCCTGGGGATTTTAACTGTGGTGTGATGGAGGTTCCTGGGTACAGAGTCTTGTCATTTTGCATCAGTACCAGTCCAATCACCATATATGATGGCAGAAAGGAATTGTATTCCTTGTTTAGATGGGTACAGACTGCAGGGTTTTGACTTCTTCTGTACTGGGGGGTGTTGCCCTCTTCATTGGATCTCTCAAGAGTATTGCACCATTTGTTGCAGCAGCAGGATACAACAAATGTTACAGTTGGCCACTGTGATCACCCTGCTTTACCTGTGGCAGGTTAGGGGATTATGGTTTGTGTTGACTGTGTAGTTTTGAGAAAAGGTTAGACAATAGATTTGTGTAAGATGATTTGGGCAAGGATGATCCTTCTTCCTGAATAGATGACCTCTGAAGGTCCCTTCCAGCACTATTTGTATATTATTTTATAGTGGGTGTTGGCGGCATGGTTATTACCAGAAAGTATGTGCCAGCAGAAAGTTAGTGCTTGAGGGTGTCACCAGCTGGGCTGATGCTGGAAGATAAATTCCCCTTGAAAGTTTGTGATGGCAGGGGAAATGGTCAGCTATCTTGGGGGAAGCAGGCGGAAGACCCTAGAAAGGTTGAAGCTTGGGGAGGAGGGCATGGCCTGCTGATCTGATAAGATGCCCAGCCTATGACCTTGAGCATTTTGTACCTCATTAATCAACAAGTGTTAAAATAAATCTGGCTTAGTCAAACCATGCTGAGTATTCCTCAAGGAAATCCTCTCTTGCTGAGAAGGGCTGACCAATCCCTCCCCAAATGATGGAATGCCTCCCCCACCTTGCATCCCTATTCACTGTAGTGGGAACTGTGACCCTACCCACCGAAACTACAGGAAGGGTGTATCTACATGTGCATTTATCCTGGCTTAAATTTATTGTGCAATAAATTATTATGCAATAAGGGGGACGAGGCTGGCATCTACGTATACAGCTGTTAAATCACATTAACGCTGTGTGTGGACTGACTTGGGACTAAAGTTAGTCCCAAGTCAGTTCATACACAGTGTTACTGTGCAGTAAGGTGTCTACATGTGCATTACTGAGCAGTAACTGATCAGGCATAAATTTCATACCTGCATCACGCAGGTATCAAATTTACACTCAAGTCAGTGTAAGTTGCCATTTTACTTCACAGTACAGGTGTGCACATGTAGACATATGCCCATGCTGTGCAGTAATTTCAGTTACTGTGCAGTCAATGTGCATGTGTAGATGTGCCCCAAGAGTCATAAGTGGCACCCCCTGCAATGTTCCATTCAACCTGCTGTGAATTGCTGCCTGGCTGGATTTTAATTACAAGGCAGGTGCAAGCACCCTTGTTGTAGGCAAATGACCACCAAGCTCTGCATCCCCTACTGTAGCCTGTAAAGAATCACCAAAACAGGTTATTTAATCAGTGGGAAAAAACTAAGAAGCAGTGACAAATGTTGGGTTTCTGAGTGCCACATCATGCCATACCACACAGATAGGTGACATATAACAAGTGTGTTTAAGTCCCCATTGGTGATCTGTCTCTTCTTGATAGGGAAGGAGGGTCCCTACACCTCCCACAGTGCTCATGCACCTGCTCTGATCCCTTCAACTGGAGACAGGGTACATCTTGCCCAATTACATCTTGCCATTAGGGTTACATTTTGAGGGCTCATCTAGGATCCCGTGTAGCTGGTGCTAGAATATTACTCGAGCACTGTGTATCTCTGTAGAGAGAGAGATAATGAGCAAGCCAGCAGGAGACATGTCCAACACCGGGTGGTCTGCCATATTCTCCTGGAGTGATAGGACTGTGCAGGGGGGAGCAGGGCAACCTGCTGGTACTGAGGCTACCCCAGAATGGGTGAAGGTTTTCCAACAGATTCTGTGAGAGGTATCCCATTCCCCTAGTGACCAGGTGGCCTATAAGAGATTCCAGAGTTTCTTCGGAACCCTTCCAGTCCCTGCAGGGGAGGAAGGATTCAACTCTTGGCACTGCCATAGTCAAGTGACTTTACTGACTTGGCAAATACCTGATCAGGATAAATGTCGCCATCTGCTGGACGACCTGAGGGAGCCTGTCTTTGGGGTTGTGAGCACCGCCAAACTCCAGAACCCTGACATCACCACCCAGCAATGCTTGCAGGTCCTTTAGGATGTTTTGAGCCAACCCAATGGGAGTTGGGGGGCATACTACAAATTACTGGGAACTTTCCAGCACAAGGGCAAGACTCTTTCAGCATATGTCCTGTGCTTACAGCCAGTGTTACAACTCCTGGTGATCCAAGGAGCACTTAGTGTCATCAACGCCAATCAGCTATAGCTCCAGCAAATTCATATTGGGGCACAGTATAGCTCAGACTTACTCCGAAACCTCAATTTAGCAGGGAGCAGGGGCAGTGCACCTGACTTCAGTCACCTCCTCCAAGAGATTCAGGAAGAGGAAGAGATATCCAGACTAAGAGAAACTATGTGGGTCCTGGAGGATCTTTTCCCCCCAGAGAGAGCCCATGGGTTGGGTGCTAATGGTGGCTCCCCACAAGGACACGTTCTTGGGAGTGGAGGACAAGCCGATGGCTCCAGCATGAGGAGCTGCTGTGGCCAGGACCCCCCACCCCAGGGGTCAGCACTTCCCCCATCATCTTGCCTTGGGAGGACCCCGGCCCTGTACCTACTGTAGGGCCTCAGGGTTCTGCTATAGATGTGGGGAGCTGGGGCACCTGGCGGAGTGCATGCAGCCCAAGAACCCTGAATTAGTATTTGAAAAGTTAAAAGGGCAGCAGGCTGTGGAAAATGGGGAAGGGGCAGACAATGAAGTCAGCTCCACTCCAGACCCAGACAGACTCCCACACATTACCCTCAATAAATTCACTGCCAAAGGGGCTAGTGGGACCCCATGCAGTGGTCCCCATGGCTGTGAATGGTCGCCCATGCCGAGCCATTCTAGACAGTGGGTCCCAGATTACTATCCTATTTGAATACCTCTGTAAGGAACATCTGAGACACTTGCCTTTGCTTCCCCTTATGAGGCTGAGACTTTGTGGCTTAAGTCAGAAGCAGTGTCCTTACAGGGGTTATGTGAATGTCAGGCTAAAATTCTCTGAGGAAATATCTGGGGTGGAGGAAGAAGTGTCAACCATCACTCTAGTATACCCTGATCCAGGGTGGATGAAAGAAGCCACTCTCATTGTAGGGACCAACTCCAGCCTTTTTCAGGTTCTCACTCACTACTGTAAACAACAAGCTGGCCCAGGTCATCAACAATGGTTAACAATGCGTACCTTGTGCTCAGAGGCGTGTGACTAATGAGAGCATAGAGAGATGTGAGGTCACCCTGAGGTTGTGGGGACCTTGCACTTCTCCGGAGCAAAGCCCCAATGAGTCCCTGCACACAGCCAATGGGCGTTGCCTACTTTATGTAATTGGACTGAGAGGGAGAAAAACAATAAGCTGCTGGTGGTGGAGACCCCCACCGGGAGAGAGAGACCTGGTGCACTGAGGGTCCCTGATGGTGTGATCAAGACAAAAGGGCTCTACCAAGACCCCAGTTACAGTGATAGTGGTAAACCCAACCTTGAAAGATATTGTAGTCCACACAGGATAGAAGGTGGCCTTGATAAAGGAAGCTGAAGTGGTGAGCCCTGAGCAGGAGGGAGACCCCCCACCAATTGAGCCTTCAAGGTTTTTTTTCAGGAACTCCCTGGTGCCCGTAGCCTGCAAAGCTCAGCTTGGGGACAAACGCAGAGCTAGAGCCCCTGTTTTCTCCATGTATGACTGGGACATGGGGGAGGCTAAGGAGGTGGAGCAACACATTCATCTGAGCAACCCACAACCTTTTCAAGAAAGGTCCCAGAGCATTTGCCTCACTGAGATGGGGAAAATAAGATGTCATCTACAGGAGCTCAGGGACCACCACATCATCCAAGAGCCCATATGCCTCTCCCATCATGATCATGTGGAAGAAGAACGGCCAATTCCATATGTGTATTGATTACCAGACTTTGAACTCCCTGACCATCACTGATCAATACACCGTCCCATGCATGGCTTTCGACTGTTTAGTAGGGAGCAAATGGTTTTCTGTAATGGACCTCTGCAGTGGCTACTACCAGATACCTCTGTGGGAGGAGGACAAAGAGAAGACTGATTTTATTTGCCCCTTGGGATTCTATCAGTTTGAGTGAATGCCCCAAGGGATAACCGGGACTCCTGCCACCTTCCAGTCTAATGGAGAAGGTGGTTGGGGATATGCAAATGACCCAAGTACTTGTTTATTTAGATGATATTATTATTTTGGAAAGACCCTGGAGGAACACAAAGAATGGCTACTATGGGCACTTGATTGGCTGAAGACTGGTGGACTTAAGTTGGCCATTGATAAATGTAAGTTCTGCCAGGCCTCTGTGAAATATGTAGGTCACAGTTTCATAGTTAGTTAGTAGTAGGGTTGGAAGGGACCTGAGCAGATCATCAAGTCCAACCCCCTGCCATGGCAGGAAAGAGTACGGGGGTCAAACGACCCCAGCAAGGTGTTCATCTAGCCTCCTCTTAAAGACCCCCAGGGCAGGAGCCAGCGCCACTTCTCTTGGAAGTTGGTTCCAGATCCTAGCCACCCCGACCATGAAGTAGTGCCTCCTGATATCTAGCCTAAATCTACCCTCTGCCAGCTTGTGACCATTATTCCTAGTCACTCCTGATAGTGCTTGGGGGAACAGGAACTCCCCCAATGCCTGCTGGTCCCCTCTGACTAGTTTGTAACAGGCCACTAGATCCCCCCTCAGCTGAATAGGTTCAGGTCCCTGAGCCTCTCCTCGTAGGGCTTGCCTTGCTGCCCCCTGATCATGTGAGTGGCCCTCCTTTGGACCCTCTCCATGTTATCCACATCCCTCCTGAAGTGCGGCGCCCAGAACTGGACGCAGTACTG